TGAAGGAAATGCGCATTTCAAATGAATGCAAAATTGGTGTTCATTCCAGAATGTCTTTTTTATGGGGGAAGAGCTATTAAAGTTTAGGAAAGCCACTCACACTACCTTTGGCTACATGGTAGCCTACATGAAAAGAGAACAAGAAGACCGGGCAAAATTGAAGGATCGCAAATACAGATTAGTTGAATTTGGAATAAGCTAAGCCAAACTGAGGGAGGCAAGGACGGGACACAATTGGTAGACTCAAAAAGTGGTTTAGGGAGTGATAAGGTCTCAAACTATGTTGGACTTGCATCAACACCTATGGATGTTATTCATAAGTGACAAAGTGAATCCATCTTTTGAATGGATGCATAAATTCATACTCATCTTTACTCCAATTTAACTGAATATAAAACTATCTTTACTCCAATTTAACTGAATATAAAACTTCTGCATTTGTGCAAGGTTTCCCAAGGATGTACTTCAATATTTGGAGGTTAATCAAAATTCTCTATTCCATTTGGAACCCTCATACCAGTGGAGCAAAGAGACACTCAAATATGAGAAAATTGCTATATTTAAGATTCCGCTAGGTATATTCCCCTCAAATCCCAACAAGTTTAACATTTGTAAGCTTATCAAGTTCTCCAAGGACTTGGGAAGCTGCTTGCATCCTATAGGTACCTTAAAGACTTAGGGGAACTTGCACAATGTGAAGGTACATCTAGTTCAAGAGGAGTGCAAATGGGGAGGAATTGTGCACATCCATCTAAAATCAAGATTCACTCTGCCACTTAGGAATAACAATCATGGACGTCAATGAAACTCCACAACAGATTGAAGCCCTATCACCTCCCCAAGCCACTCCCCAAAGGCTACATCTCAATGGGCCCCCAGTGGGCAGGAAGCTGCTCAATTGTGTGTGTCCATTGCTTACTCATTCACTTAGGCTTGGGCACTTAGCCTATGCCAAACTCAGCAAAGACCAATTTGTGATCCTTCAAAATTGCCCAAGCTCATTGTTCTCTTCTACAACGAGCATAATGTAGAGGTAAGCATATACCAAATACAATGCAGGTAGCTTCCCTAAACCTCAGGCGCTCTCTCTATTATGTGGATGAAATGGACGAGTGGAGACATTGAAATATGATATTTAATTACCAAAAAATTGTACAAAATCCCTTCTTCTAATTCAATTTTGAGAACTGCAGAGGATCAATAAATCCAAAAATTAAAAGATTTAGACAATAAACTAAAAGCAAGTTATAGGACACTGCAAACCAGTATCCTAAGCCCAATAGATATCTGCCATCATCTCACCACTGAATTAAAAAAAGTTAATAAAGAATCCAATCCAAACTTCAACTTCCATTACCCTAAGAACCCAATTGGATAGCCACAGATGTTTGTCCCTAGGAGATGACGCTCCTAGAATAGGCATATCCTGAAAAATGATATTGGGAAATCCTTTTAGATATGGCATATGGAAATTGTTATCCTAAAAACTCCCTTCTCTGTTGCAGCAACATTTCCCCTGGATGCATTAATACGAGAGAGAGGGAGAGAGAGAGTTGCAAGGCCATGAGAGAGAGAACAGTAACGAGGGAGCGAGAGAATAGCAGGGCAATAAGAGGATGAGGGAGTGAGAAATTAAAAAATAAGAAAAAAAATCTTCTTGTTTTTATTTAAAAATAGAACACTTCAGATTTTTTAGGGTTTTTCGTGTATAAATTTTTTTTCCCAAATCAAAGCAATATATTGTTTCTCATTTTCTTTTGTTCTTGTTAATGGTTGTTTCATCTTTGTTAAGCTTATGGTTGTATGTTTTTGCTTTTTAGAAAGCCTTATATACATTTTTTTTTTGAGTAACTAAAAAAATTAAAATAAAGCCTTACATACATTTTTTTAAAAACAAATAAT